CTCTGTGTGTGGGGCTGTGAGCTCTGTGTGTGGGGCTGTGAGCTCTGTGGGGCTGTGAGTTCTGTGGGGCTGTGAGCTCTGTGTGTGGGGCTGTGAGCTCTATGGGGCTGTGAGCTCTGTGTGTGGGGCTGTGAGCTCTGTGTGGGGCTGTGAGCTCTATGGGGCTGTGAGCTCTGTGGGGCTGTGAGCTCTGTGGGGCTGTGAGCTCTGTGTGGGGCTGTGAGCTCTATGGGGCTGTGAGCCATGTGGGGCTGTGAGCTCTGTGTGGGGCTGTGAGCTCTGTGTGTGGGGCTGTGAGTTCTGTGGGGCTGTGAGCTCTGTGGGGCTGGGCACTCAGATCAGTACGTTGAGGGGGCCGGCAGTGAGGGGCCTGGTGCCCTGAACGCTGTGGGGCTGAGATCAGAACCCCGGTGTGATCTGGGCTGAGATACAGCCGGTATCGCACATGATGTGGGGCTCAGTCCCCTGTGTGACACGACCAGGTCCCCATGTGGTGTGGGGCTGGGGCTGTGCCTCCTGTCCCGTTTGGGGCTGGGGGTCAGACCCTGCTGTGCCATCTGCTGTGGGGCTGGAGCTTCTGTTTCCCATCCTTTGGCAGCCAGGGCCGGGGGAAAATCCTGCAGACATTGTGACATTTGCAAGGGAACCGCAGCTCCGTCCCTGGAACAGGGATGGAGGTGAAAACAAAGTACTGGGATGAGTCATGGAGGTGTAGGACTGACAGGAGCTGCAGGAATCATTTCCGTCCTGTCTCCTGCTGTAGGACAGGAGCTGGCTTAGACCCGGTATCAAACCTGTTCTTTAAAGGTCCTGGAATAAAGAGGAGTAAAAGGAAAAGTAGAAATGAAAGAAGTGTGGGAAGAGCCTGTGAGATTTCCTCGCTGGGCTGCTGTTCCCTTCCTTGAGCCATGTTTGACAGAGCAGCTCTCAAGAAGGGTCTGAATTTGTGTTTTTACCAGTAAAATGGCCAAGTCTGCAGGAATCAGCCACAATTTCCCAAACTCAGGATTATTTCCCTGACTCAATATTCCCCCTCCCCATTAATGGAGACACTTCATTTGTTCCCACAGCCTAAAACCTCCATCTGAGCTTATTTCTTTCTGTGCTGAGAAATCTCATCCCAGGCAGGGCTGGACCCTTCACTATTGCTCTTCACACCAACTGTGGCAGTTCCTTCCTTAAAAGTAAACCCCATCATTATCAAATAATTGTCAAATAATAAAATATTATCATCTGATGCTTTTCCATCTAATTCAGTTTTCTGCTTGGACATGGTAGCCCTTTGCCCCTCAATTTATCAGGATCCCTCCCCAGCCCCACATGTGAATTTTGGGGTCTGGCAGCTTTATTTGTGGAGGTGATGTCACAGCATTTTTTGCCATGGCAACAGGAGGATGCTGAACACAGGAGCTGAACAAGGAGATTTTCAATGGGAACTCAAAGGCAAGTCTGAGACATTCATTAGTTAATTAGGGTAAAAATAAAGATAAATGTGGGAAATCCCAGAGGCTGACGGGCTCATGCTTCCAATTTAATATTTTCTTGCAGACACACCTCCCATAAACACATTTAATTGGGATTAGTCCCATTGTAGAGAGGAGAAAACAGGCATTGAGAAGAAAACTGTGATCAGGAAACACTGGCTGGGGGCAGATCCTTCCAACACCTCCTTTTTCCTCCTTGACCTTGGCTGCAATAATTCCTTGGGGTTTTCAGGGCTGTGCAGCCTGTCAGTGAGGTGTGACTGTGGTGGGTGTTTCTGTGTTCTGTCCATGAGGAAGGACTTTTCTCCTCAATCTCTGGAGCAGGGATGGGCTCCTGGAGGTGTAGGTTTCCTGTAGGTTCAATGCAAGGTCCTTGATTCTGCTGGAGACTCTGCTGTCATGTAATTTCATATTTATTCATTTAAATGTGAGATAAATATCCAGATCACTTTAAATAAATGCATAATTCCCCTCACCAGCAGACTTTGTGCTGGAATGAGAGATCTCACAATGGTGGATGGTGGAATTTCATTGGAATTACCTCTGGTCCTTACACACCGAACAGGTCAGAGTCTTCCTTGCCCACACACAAACTGCTGCAAGGAGGAAGAAGAGGAAGAAGAAAAGGAGGAGGAAGAGGAGAAAGAGGAGGAGGAGGAAGTCCCTGCCCTGTGTCATCACTTTTTAATTATCACAGTCTCCCCACACAAGATTATTTGTTTCTTCAGAGCATTCCAGGCTGAGGAAAATGACATTTACATACAGAGCACACATGGAGGTCATGGGAAGTGCTCGTTGCTGTCCATCCAGCAGGAGATTTGGTTTAATACTGGGGTTTTTTTCTGTTTTGTTTGAGTTTTTTTTCCCGGTTTTGAGCCTGCCTGAATCTCCCAGCACAAGAACACGGCTCTTGCACACTTGAGTAAGCTGGATAATGAGCCTGGAAAGCCTGTCCTGTGCTTGGCCAGTCCCAGAACCCACCCAGGCATGAACCACGACTGGAAATACTCCTCTGTGCTGCTTAGAGATGCTGCTGTTACCTGGCCCCAGGTGGGTAAAGCCACATGCTGAGAGATGGCACTTAGGTGACCTCAAATGCTACTTTTAGCTTGTCCCCTCCCCAGTTTAATCTCATTTATACCCATCCCATTCCCCTCTGCTGCTCCCTGGGAGGGGCAGGCCCTCATTGATGGTGGGGTGTCCTGGGCAAAGCCAACCTGGAGAAGATGAAGAGGAACAAACCCCTGTGAGCTGTTCTGGGCAGCACTTTTGACCACATCATTGATGCCTGTGGTGATGCAGCTTCAGCATCAGCACTAAATATTAATTCCCCCCAAAACAACTCCATGTGTGTCCTCCTGTGCTCTCACACTTGCATCAT